CTTTTTACTCCTTTCTTTCCTTCCTTCCTTTTCCTTTCCTTTCCTTTTTACTCTTTCCTTTCGCTTCCGTCATTTTCCTTTCCTTCCTCTTTCCTTTTTACTCCTTTCTTTCCCTTCCTTCCTTTTCCTTTCCTTTCCTTTCCTTTTTACTCTTTCCTTTCCCTTCCTTCCTTTCCTTTTTACTCTTTCCTTTCGCTTCCTTCCTTTTCCTTTCCTTCCTCTTTCCTTTTTACTTTCCTTTCCCTTCCTTCCTTTTCCTTTCCTTCCTCTTTCTTTTTTACTCTTCCCTTTCCCTTCCTTCCTTTTCCTTTCCTCTTACCTTTTCTTTCCCCTTTCCTTTCCCTTTCCCTTTCTCTCCTTTCTTTTTTTTCTTCTCCCTTCCTTTCCTTTTATTCATCTTTCTATTTTTTCTTCCTTTCCCTTTCCCCCCCCACCCGTCCCCATCTACCTGTCCAGAGAGAGAGAGACCCTGGACTCTCTTCCCTCCTTCCCACCCACCCACCCCCGAGGCATCCCTCTCACCTGCTCTTCCTGGGCTTTGCTCTCTTGCTCTCGCAGCAGGAAATCCTCCGCCAGGATCACCGCCTGGGTGCAGGTCAGAGGGCGGCACTCCCGCACCCAGCCCTGTAGTTCCGGGGGCAGGATGGCCAGGAACTGCTCCAGCACCACCATCTCCAGGATCTGCTCCTTGGTGTGCTGCTCCGGTTTCAGCCACTGGTGGCAGAGCCTTCGGAGGTGACGGCAGGCTTCCCGAGGCCCGTTGGCTTCCTGGTAGCCGAACCGCCGGAAGAGGCAGCACTCGTCTTTCCAGCTGACGGCCTGTTGGGCCCGGGCGAGCCTGGAGCCTTTCTGACCCTGAAGCCTTTTGGGAGGCTCCATCCGGTGGGTTTCTCCGCTCAGGCTGATGGTGAGCTGGGTCCCTCTCTGGGCTCGAGGCTGCTGAGGGAAACCGGCTTTCCCTCGGAAGGAGGCCAGGGAGGAGCGAGGGTCGCTTCTGGGCAGGGGCATCCGAGGCTGTGGGCTTCCCCCTTCCAAGGAAGGCGCTTCCAGAACCTTCAAGAATTCCTGCAGCTGAGATTCCCATCGTTGTTGCAGGTTCCTGCAGGGATCCGGGGTGGTTTTCTCCGGATCGGCCCTCTCCCAGAAATCGTGGATGCGGCCTGTGGGAATCAGGCGGGAACCAGGCCCCGCTCCCTTCTCTTTTGTGGGCCCCGCCAGGAGGCGCTCTCCCATCTGCGTCCCTTTCCCTGGCTCAGCCTTCAAAGGACTCGGAGCCGATTTCTCCCTGAGCTCTGCCGCCATTTTCTTTCTCTGGCCTACCACCGACTGGATCGATGCCTCTGCTCGGTGATGGCAACGCTGGCCCTGTCTCAGAAGAAAATTGGCACGGAGATCAAAACCAAAGCCACTTCAATGCCAGCAAGCTTCACCCCCCGCCCCAAACAAATGGAGAAGAGCAACCAGGATGATGAGGGGACTGGAGACTAAAACATATGAAGAACCGTTACAGGACCTGGGCTTGGCTAGTCTAGTGAAGAGAAGGACCAGGGGAGACAGGATAGCAGCCTTCCAATATTTGAGGGGCTGCCACAGAGAGGAGGAAGGAGTCAAGCCATTTTCCAAAGCACCTGAAGGCCAGACAAGGAATAATGGATGGAAACTGAACAAGGAGAGATTCAACCTGGAAATAAAGGAGATATTTTCTGACAGTGAGATCAACCAATGGAACAGAAATTGCCCTCAGAAGTTGGAGTTTTATCACTTGAGACTTTCAAGAAGAGATTGGACTCCCATCTGTCAGAAATGGTGTAGGGTCACCCGCTTGTGGGGGGGGATTGGACTAGATGACCTACAAGGTCCCTTCCATCTTTGATTATGTTATCTGAGAACATCAGATAGAATATGAGACTAAAGCTAGCAGTGGAGGTGACAGGGCAGAGACCTGGCACCCAGTCAATTCCTTTTTCTAAAAAATAAAAATATTTGTATTACCCTTCCCATTATGATAAGCCTTTGCCAACTGGGGTGCTCTTGAGATAGCCAGTACTGACTTCCCCTCCCAAATTCTGGTAGTTGAAAGCCATGTTTCATTATTTGAGGGGACTCCTACGAAGACGAGAGGGGTCAAACTATTTTCTAAACTAAAAGTTTAGAACTTTTGGGACTTCTGGTGACGTCGTGACAGGGCGAGGTAGGAGAACTTTTATTGTATATCTAGGGAAATATTAGCTGAAATACAGTAATCAACTTAAAGAACTGACTGGGATTATAATATTGTTATATATCTAAGCACGGTTGAGTGATTCTTTTTTATCCGTTAAACAAATAAAGAACTGATGAGTTACTGAATTTATTAAGATTAGACATTGTATTAATACAAGGTGAGGAGAACATTTAGAGTAGTAATAATTAAGGTGGGCTTGGAAGTATGAATACAGAATTATTAATTGATGATATTTTTTTTTAAACTAAAGGTGTTAGGAAATTAGATTAAGTAGACAAATAGTAGTATAAAATATTAGATAACCGAGAAAATTAAATTGTAAAATACGGATAAGGTTGATGGTAGTTGGCAATATGACTTGGGAAAATATATTTAGGATAGTGGAGGAACAACAAAGAATTATCAAAGATATGACAAGTACAACTGCCACTATTACAAAAACAGGAAGAAAATTGGTATCAACAGCAACACCATCTACTCCCACAGTAACATTGACTCAAAAAACGATTGAAGGGATGTTGGCGCCAGAAAAATCTACAATCCAAACTAACACGCAATCGGTTCAAACTACATTGCTAACTATTCAAAGCACGATGCTGGCAATGCAGGAGTCGATGTCTAAAAATCATACGGAAAGTAAAGCAGAAAGAGAAACAATGAAAGAAGAATTAAAAAACGAGTTAGGAGAAATGAGAAGCAAAGTTAAGAATTTGGATGGAAAGATAGGTCAAATACAGGAATTAATTAAAATAAATGAAGAGAAAATTAAAGAGATTGAAAAACTAGCTGATTAAACGGAAAAGAAGTTGGAAGGCATGGAACAAAAAATTATGGAACAGAACAAAGAGACAAATGAGACCCTGACTCATCTCGAGATGGATAAGGCCTATTATCTCGGATTCCAGAACGTGGAGGAAGAGAACTTACCGTTAGTGATGGCAGAGATATTGGCAGAGCTCTTGAATAGAGATAAGAATGAGATGGTGAATGAGTTGGGCGACATATACAGAATGTACACGAGCTACACGAGACGACACAGACTCTCCCAAGAAGTGCATATTAGATTTGCAAGGAGGCGAGTGAAAGATATAATTTATAGAATTACAAGAGGTGAAGGAATAAAATATAAAGAGAGAGAATGGGCGTTGGTTCTTACCTGACACGCCATTTCTCTGGGAGCCGTGAGGATCATCCAGTGTGTGGGAGGTGCTTCAGTCTGCGTCGTTGTAGGCTGAGCTTAATTACTGAGGATTGCTCCGCCCTTCACCACGTGGCTGCCTTGCAATCCCCAGTTTACGCGAAGTCGAGAGTGAATAAAAAATCCTGCTCTCCTCTTACTATGCTAAAGGGTTCATTGGCCAAAACAAGACCCCACCAGACGGAAAACTAATAAGGGTGGGGCTGGATGATCCTCACGGCTCCCAGAGAAATGGCATGTCAGGTAAGAACCAACGCCCATTCTCCTGGAAGCCGTTCGGATCATCCAGTGTGTGGGACATACCAAAGCTTGGCTGTCCTACGGGGGGGACTCCGTCTGGTTCTGTGATCCCTGTGGTTCCTCAAGGACTCGCTGGAGGACTTGTCTACCAACTGAAGCCTCCGCCGAGGCAAATATGTCGATCTTATAGTGTCTAAGGAAGGGAGATGGGAAGGCCCAAGTGGCCGTCCGACCAACATCAGCAATTGGAGCCTGGGTGGCCCCAGCTGCAGAGGTAGCAGCACTTCTGGTGGAGTGTGCCGTTATTCCGCTGGGAACTGGCAGGGCCTGGGACAAGTATGTCTTGGAAATAGTAGCTCCAATCCAGCGGCCGATGGTTGACGGGGACACTTTGTGGCCTAATGATGTGGGCTGAAAGGAGAGGAATAGGGATTCGGATCTCCTGGAGGGTTGGGTACGTTTAATGTAAATGTGGAAGGCCCGTCTTACGTCCGGAGTGTACCAGAGCTTCTCCCTTTCCCGCGAGGGATTGGGGCAGAAGTTCGGAAGTGTAAGTTCCTGTGCCCTGTGGAAGGCTGAGTTGACCTCGGGCAAGAAGGTAAGGTCCGGCCGGAGAACTATCCGGTCGGCATGGAAGATGCAAAGGTCCTTCCTCACCGACAAGGCTGCTTTCTCTGATATTCGGCGAGCCGAGGTAATGGCCACCAGGAACGCGACTATGTATGTTAGGAACTGGAGAGTGGATTCCCTGAGAGGCTCAAGGGGTGTTTAATAAGGGCCACCAGGACCTTATTGAGGTCCCAGGTAGGGTATCTGTGAACCGTTGGGGGACAAAGTTAGTGGCTCCCCTGAGGAATGCCCTAATGCGAGGGTGGAGGGAAAGGGACCCCAGATTGTCAACACAATGACGGTTGAAAGGGCTGCGACCCGATGCCTCAGGGAGTTCGGAGAAGACCTTTCCTCAGACCCTCTTGGAGGAATGTCAACACTTGAGCAATGGAGGGTGAAAGCGGGTTGACCTGGAAACCCTGGCACCACTTGCAGGAACTATTCCAAGTGGCATTGTATATCCGGGTTGTGGAGGGCCGCCTGGCAGCTAGAATAGTATCAATAACGTGGTCAGAAACTGCTCCTTTCTTAGACGCTCCCGCTCAACCTCCAAACTGCTAACAGGAGCCACTGAGGATCCGGGTGCTGGAGGGGGACCCTGAGAAAGGGATATCTTGATTGGAGGGATTTTCCAGGGAGGGGCCACCGATAGGTTGCGGAGGTCCGCGAACCATGGGCGCCTGGGTCGGTAGGGTGCCACCAGAATCAGTTCTGCTTTCTCGGAGATGAGCTACTGGATAACTCTGGGGACCAGGGCAAGGGAGGGAATGCATATAGAAACCCCGAGGGCCAGGGGCAACAGAGGGCGTTGTAGTTCTCAGCCCCGTGGGAGAGGGACCTCGAGAAAGAACCTGGGGAGTTGTGTGTTGAGGGGGGATGCGAAGAGGCCCACTAACGGGAGACCGAAAAGCTTGGTCGCCTCCCTGACCAGTGATGGGTGGAGGCGCCATTTGGCCTGGTCCACCATGGTCCTGCTCGACCAGTCAGCTAGGGTGTTTAAGACCCCTGAGATGTGCTCAACTTTGAGAGAGAGGAGATTGCGCTCCGCCCAACGGAAGAGGCGCTCGGCCTCTCTCATCAAATGGATGGACTGGGTGCCCCCTTGTCAGTTGACAAGGGCCTTGGCGGTGATGATGGCCGTGAGTATGAGGACATGCCGCCCGCGTTCCTGAGGGAGGAGTTGCGCAGGGCCAGGTGGATGGCGTGGCGTTCCAACCAGTTTATACTGCATGCCCGTCCTACCTGAGACCATCTGCCCTGTTGCGAGAGCGAGTGGATGTGAGCGCCCCCTCTGGACAGGCTGGCATCTGTGGTGAGGGTGAGGCGCTGGGGCTCCTTGAAGCCATGTCCCTTGTAGATGGCGGGACTGGTCCACCAGAGGAGAGACTTGAGGACCTTTGGAGGCACCTTGACCGTGGTCTTTGAATTACTCTTGCCGGACCGTTGGAACGGGAGCAGGAACCACTGTAGGGACCTAGTGTGTAACCGGGCCCAGGGAACAAAGGAAATACATGAGACCATTTTACCTAGTATCTTAGACAATTCCAAAAGTGTCACCCCTCCTGAACGTCTGATGTGTTTGACGGTTTCCTGAATGTTAAGGAATGTTTCCGAGGAAGGGAAACCTTTCCTCGAACTGAGTCAATGACGGACCCCAAGTGGGTGATCCGTGTAGATGGTAACAGTCGGCTCTTTTGCCAGTTTACCAGGAACCCATGGTCTTGGAGGGCAGAGAGGGTAGCTCTGACATCCTTCTCTGCTTGGAGTCTGGAGTGGAACAGGATGAGAATGTCATCCAGGTAACAATGGAGACGAACCGGGAGGTTCCTGAGGTGGACCGCCAGAGCCGCGAGGACCCTAGTGAAGGTCCTCGGGGCAGAGGCCAACCCAAGGGGAGAGCCACATATTGTAAGAGGCGGTGGTTGTAGCAGAATCTGAGGAATTTGGAATGGGAGGGCCGGATTGGGATGTGAAGATACGCCTCTGAAAGATCTATAGAGGCTAGCCAGTCCCCCTGCCTGATGCCCCGTAGAATGGACTGTAGGGTGCATCTTGAACCTGCGGTAGATCAGGTAACGGTTCAGGCGTTT